GCAAACTGATAACACTTTGTGTTAACCTCAAAACCATGCTTGACCTGAAGCCAAATCTCATCCCTATTCTGAAATTATTCATTTATTGAAAGGCCTCATAGACCCGAACATAAGCAGATCATGACAAGCATTAATAGGGGACCCATTCATACCAAAATCGTAAAGTAATTGTAAGTCAACAGAGGGTCCGTTGACTTGCAATTGTACCTTCCCATTTCCTTCATAACTGTTGCATTGTGATCTGTTTTTCAGCGGATGCTAAAGCAAGGGCACCGAAAAACGAATGGGTGTGGTTCACTCCGCTTGTTGTGTTATGTTGCGCTGAAAAAAAGTAGTGCATGCTTTTCTTTTTATTTAGGGTAGCGCAACGTAACAGAATGGAGCGGTGTGAATTGGTTCCATTCACACATATTCATTTTTGGGTTACTTTCCATTGACATTTATTGAAAAATGAATCGCAATGGATCCCAACGGATCTGGGCAGAATGTTCACGGACACTTTTACCATTTGTTTACAAATTTCAGAAATGAATCAGCTGACTTTTAATGGGGATGATTTACTAAAACTGCATTAAAATAAGTGAAGCAATTACTTATGGAAACCAATCAGGTTTGACCTTTCTTTCTATCAGAAAATGAAACAAGAATTCTGATTGGTTGCTATGAGCTTCACTTTTGAACTATTTTTCTTTCTCTCATGTTTGTAAATCCAGTGTCGCTCATGAAGTGTTATTGAATGTTATTGTCAAACATTCAAACATGAGTAAACTGCATCTCCCAGCCTCAGTAAAGCTTTCCACATGGGGCTTGCCTTTCTTATTGCACAATGCAGTTATAAAGAGAGACTGAATTTCCTTTTGTTTTCTGGAAATCAACTTACACTGCATATGATGACTTTGGTAACAATGCCATTGGTTTGCCAGTAGTAGGTATATACAGAGGAGCTTCTCTGAGACATAAGTTCATTTGTTGGCCATGAGGGCAAATGGTGTACTCAAGGTTGTTATCATGAATTTTTTATGTAAATGCTACATAATCAATTGTGTGAACCTTTGTTATCATGTTAGCATTAAAACTAGGAGAAATACTGCTTTTGGTAGAGTTCTAGGCAAGAATTACATTGTACTTTGACATTTGTGAACTTTAAGAGATAATTGTGGATCTCTGTGTTGTGTGTGGGTATATGAGGAAATGCACAAATGCAATTTCTCAAACTGTAACCCAATATTTACAGATGCACTAAAGGGTAAGATATTTATATGGATTACTGCAATTGTTACTATCACTGCATATGTATGTTTATAAAATAAAAACCGTAATAATGATTTACTTGTAGCGTTTTCTTTTATATTATGCAATATATACTGTAGAAGTAACCCTGCTATAGTTTGATTTCTTAAGAGGCTATTAACTAGTGGGAAGTTGATTATTAAAAGAAGTGAAAAAATGATCTACTAGGGGGAATCAAAAGATATTAAAACTACACTATATTGACAAACGTATTGGAACACCCCTCCAAATCATTGGATTCAGGTGTTCCAATCACCTCCATGGCCACATGTATATAGAATCAAGCACCTCGGCATGCAGACGGCTTCTACAAACATTTGTGAAAGAATGGGTCGCTCTCAGGAGCTCAGTGAATTCAAGCGTGGTACCATGATAGGTTGCCACCTGTGCAATAAGTCCATCCGGAAAATTCCTTGCTACTAAATATTCCACGTTCAACTGTTAGTGGTATTATAACAAAGTGGAAGCAACTGGGAACAGCAGCAACTCAGCCACAAAGTGGTAGGCCACGTAAAATGACAAGGCGCTGTCAGTGCATGCTGAAGCGCCCAGTGCGCAAAAGTCGCCAACTGTCTGCGGAGTCAATAGCTACAGACCTGCAAACTTCGTGTGGCCTTCAGAATGGCACAACAACAGTGTGTAGAGAGCTTCATGGAATGGGTTTCCTAGGCCGAGCAGCTGCATCCAAGCCTTACATCACCAAGTGCAATGCAAAGCGTGGGATGCAGTGGTGTAAAGCACGCCGCCACTGGAATCTAGAGAAGTGGAGACGTGTTCTCTGGAGTGACGAATCACGCTTCTCTGTCTGGCAATCTGATGGACCTGTCTGGGTTTGGCATTTGCCAGCAGAACGGTACTTTCCTGACTGCATTGTGCCAAGTGTAAAGTTTGGTGGAGGGGGGATTATGGTGTGGGGTTGTTTTTCAGGGGTTGGGCTTGGCCCCTTAGTTCCAGTGAAGGGAACTCTTAAGGCATCAGCATACCATTTTGGACAATTTCACGCTCCCAACTTTGTGGGAAAAGTTTGGGGTTGGCCCCTTCCTGTTCCAACATAATTGAGCACCAGTGCAGAAAGCAAGGTCCATAAAGACATGGATGAGCGAATGTGGGGTGGAGGAACTTGACTGGCCTGCACAGAGTCCTGACTACAACCCGATAGAACACCTTTGGGATGAATTAGAGCGGAGACTGCGAGTCAGGCCTTCTCGTCCAACATCAGTACCTGACCTCACAAATTGCTTCTGGAAGAATGATCAACCATTCCCATGGACACACTCCTAAACCTTGTGGGCAGCCTTCCCAGAAGAGTTGAAGCTGTAAAGTGTGGGACAACTCAATGTTAAACCCTACGGACTAAGACTGGGATGCCATTAAAGTTCATGTGCGTGTAAAGGCAGGCGTCCCAATACTTTTGGCAATATAGTGTATGTTATAGGGAGAAAAACAAAAGCTGCTGCATTATTGAATAGCGTTCCCTAATATTTGGTTATTGTCCTTCTCCCTCCTGCCCAACACTGAATTAAGAGGGGCTAAGCCATTGACTAAACAGAATTTGGTGAAAGTGTGTAAAGGCAGATGTTGTGGTGATTGGGGGGGGGGGACAAAAAGTGTTCAGGTTGGTTGAACTAGTCTGTACAAGAAGTAAGAATCATGGAACATTAAACTGGCAAGGAGGTTAGAAAAGATAGGAAATCAATGTATATATTTCTCCCATATATTCATCTTTAAAAAGTATTCCAACCTTCACCACAGTATTGGTTGTTAAATTAAATAAGCCCAGGATTAAGAATCTTGATTGGCCAGATCGGGATGATGTAACTCCCTTGCATGCACATGGAAGTTACTTTATATCGGCACAGAACCTTCCTGAAACTGTGCACTGGGCATGCGCAGCTCAGTGTTCACAAATGCTGACAGGGAGGGAG